CCAAATTTGGGCAAACTCCACATAAAATATCTGCATGATGGCCCGAATAAGCTATATAAATATCGTTGAATTCGGTGAAGGCGTTCTCAAGTTATAAGCTAACTCACTAATTTTTATATATAAAATAGAGGCGCCACGCCCCCTTTTCCAAATTTGGGCAAACTCCACATAAAATATCTGCATGATGGCCCGAATAAGCTATATAAATATCGTTGAATTCGGTGAAGGCGTTCTCAAGTTATAAGCTAACTCACTAATTTTTATATATAAAATAGAGGCGCCACGCCCCCTTTTCCGAGTTCGAGCAAACTTCGCATAAACCATCGGCATGATAGATCGAATATGCCACATAAATTTGGTTGAATTCAGTGAAGTCGTTCTCAAGTTATGAGGTCACACCAAAAACGTGCACTTATTTTTATATATAAGATTATGGAACTACTAGAATATGGGAGGCATACGTACTAAATTATCTCAGTGTTATCGTTGCAAATCAATGCGTGATTATGATTTTATTGCAATCAATGAGACTTGGTTTAACGACAATATATCCTCAAATGAATACTTCGATGGCTACTACAACGTCTATTGTAAGGATCGCGCCTATTGCGCTACTGGTCATGAAAAGGGAGGTGGTGTCTTCCTCGCTATAGGAGCTGACTTGTCCAATAATCATATGAGTCTTAATGTGGCTGATGGTATGATAGACCAATTATGCGTTAATGTTAAGTTTTCTAACGATAAATCATTGTTAGTCATAATATCTTATATACCTCCGGGCAACGATATAAATACTTACCCAAAACATTTGGACAATGATCATTAATTTACTAAGAAATGTAAACGGTTCTTATCAAATCATTTGTCTATGTGATTTTAACTTGTCCAACATTTCATGGTTCCGTAGTGGAAATAATTTGGTGCCAGCGGATATTAAATCAGGCATCGATATTTATGTTATAGAACATTTAAATACTTATTGTTAGTTTCATATTTGAAAGAAGCAATAAATAGAAATTACTTAAAATTAGTTTAAACTCTTCCGAAGTGTAAACTCGAAATAGAAACACTTAACTCTAACTTACCATAATTGTTACCAAAAATATTAAGCTATTGAATCGGTTATTTACCAAAGCGAATAAGTCTGGCGGCCGCTGTGGTGGTAAGCGGTACGCGCTTCCACTCCGCAGTACTTGGGTTCAAGATTTGATCAAAGCAACATCGCAAAAAAATATAGAAACATATTTTTCTTAACAGCGGTCGCCACTCTGCATGAAATGGCAAACCTCCGAGCTTCTCTTCGGAGTCGGCGTAAAACTGTAGGTCCCTCCTCTTTGTGTGACAACATCAAGGCGCACACCACAAATCGGAGGAGAAGCTCGGCCCAACACTAATATATGTGTAAGCGCCAATCTGTTGTTAAGTGTTAATTTTTTTCGATATGACAATTTCGATGCAGTTTCAATTCGTTTATAGGAGCTGTTGAACTGCATGTCGGAAAAATGTAGATTTATTCCCTTTGGCAAATAATCGATGCGATTGTAAATAAGATATGTATGAGAGAATTTATTTATAAAAATATATAATTTTTGATTTTTACTTTATCTTGATATTTGGTGTGTAAACTATTAAAATTTCCGTGTTTCATAAGTTCACACGTTTAGGCGAATACCCCAATTGTGCATTAAGGATTAATGTTTATGTGTTCCCTCTTAATTGCAATTAATTAAATTAATTACGAAGTTTATAAACCTCTTACCTGTTGCCAACAAACTGCACGAACCCAAAAATACAAAGTCAGAAAGTAATTTATTGTGGCACTGGTATGTCTGAAAATAAAAGAATGGGAAAATCGTATAAGGGTCGAAATTTTCGAAATCAGCACCAAAATATTTTAAATCTTATGATCCGATGATTTGTATATTATTGATAACTTATAGTGATTTCGTTTCTTCCAAAAAATTTTTCCAATCGCCGGTGCAAATTGTGTTTAATGTTACACTCAACCCCACAAAAAGGCATGTTTTTGCCTTCTTGTCCTTGTCTAGCTTACGCATTTCATAGTGTTGTCGTTTTAAACAACCATCTGATTTTCAGGCAACCATCTCCCCTGACAAAGCTTCACAGGGCAGAGAATGTGCCTTTTTTTGCTTGACATTTTAAGAAATGAACACACAATTTTCTGACAACTTTGCCTTTAATTTAGAAACGAAAAAAAAGGATTGCCCCATTCTTTTCTCAAATGGCGAAATTTTTTGGTGGAAACAAAATCACCATTGAAGCTTACACGTAGTGTAGAAAAAATATATGTACACTTGTGATCAGCTAATTAAGCCAGCAACATTTTGATAAATTTCGGCTATTTTGCTTTCGTTTATTTAATGTTTAGATATTATTTTTCCATAAAAATCTAGCTCATTATTTATATAACAAACACCATATGAATCCAGATTTCAAATTTTATGCAAAAATTATGAAAAATCCGCAAAGTTTCAGCTAAATTTTCAACTTTTTATTCAGATTTTTTAGAATTTGAGTATGCAGTTTAATAACCCATTAAATTCTAGGGCAATAATGTGCAAGTCTTAAGTTGCTAAAAAATCGCGTTGATTTTTAATAATTTTTTTTCTGACTGCATTACAAATTTTTTTCCATACAAAATAAATTCGACAATTTTTACCCCAGAATTTAATGGGCTAATAAACTGCATACTCAAAAAAATCTGTATAAAAAGTGGAAAATCTAGCTGAAACTTTGCAGATTTTTCATATTTTTTGCACAAGCTTTGAAATCTGGGGCCCCTATTGCGAGTGTCGACTGGCAGTAGAATAGAAATTTGTCGATCGAGTCGATCATCTTTTATTTTGCTATTGTGTAACTTGATCGATAAAAATTTGTACTATTGTGAATGGTTGACAGAATTGTAAACAGCTGTTTGTTTGTTTACATTTGTTTCTTGAGTGTTTTATTTACATCATTTTTAAAATAATTGCTTTTATTATAAAATTTAAAAAATGGACACAGTTGAAATATGGTTTAGTGATGAGGAAGATGATGCGGAAGCTAATAGATTAGTAGAGTTGGCAAAAGCAAGTAGGGAATTGCGAGATTCGTCGGATCCCTTGGACTTGGAAGGTGTATGTACATGTGTGAGTTTTATGAATAGAAGTTGCGTTCCCGATGCTTCACGGTTTTTAGGCTTTACATGATTTGCAGGAAAAGCTGTTTTCCTCATTAATAAACTTTATGGAAGTTTAAGAAATACGGTACGGTTAAGTTTTTTGTACAATGATGTTGGGTTTTTGTGTCCAAACGCGTGACCCGAGTTTAAAAACTTTAACATAACAACATAACAAGTGTATTGAAAGAATTCAACTTTAATTTAAAATAAAGATTTCAAATTTCCGAGCACTAGTCAATTAATAAATTATGCAGTTTTTTTGTATAAACTTTTGATGTTGGTTCTGCGCAAAAACACTGTGGATGGCGTAGCCGGAGTTATATGCACAAGAAATATTGTATATGTATCTTTTCCAATAGAAGCGGAGCTTCCTACCCTACTCTTTCCGGAAATTCCTTTGCCTATGTCTTCACTCTCCTGCATCAGTACGAACAACCGCGCAAGTTGCCTTTTGTTGCTTATAATTTTTGATCTGTAATTCAGACACATACATGCATATGTATATTTCACAATTTTTTACAACTTCCAGTTCAATTGACTTACTTTTTATCCATTATAGTACCACTTTCTTATGTAAATTTTATAAACGCAAACTCCAACGACTAAAAAACAGCAATAGAAGGATGAGCGATTAAAAAGTATTCACAGTCGCTAATTGAGCGACTAAGCGACACTCGCAATAGCATCGATAATCGATAATCGCTTAATAGTCGTTTATCTACTGCCAGTCGACATTCGCAATAGGGGTGTGGATTTATGTGGTGTTTGTTATATAATAAGCTCGACTTTTATGGAAAAATAATAAACATTAAATAAACAAAAGAAAAATAGCCAAAATTGATCAAAATATTGCTGGCTTAATTAGCTGATCATAAGTGTACATTAGCGTTGGCCGAGAATCCGCTTTTTTAGAATTTTCATTGGTAATAGAAAAAATATGATTCATTATGCTTTAAAAAAAATCTGTGTGAAATTTGGAATTTTTTGGTCCATATCCTAGGCTCGCCCAAGTCCATCAAAGTTCAATATGCTCAAAAAATAAAAATTAATAAATAAATTAATTAATACATTTTTTTACTAAAATTGCAATAATCTTCGAAAGTATTAGACCTACATAATGTAGTATTTGGACCTTTTTTGTAGAGAATCGAAGGTAGCTAAAAAAAAAAAAATTTTTAGTACTTGAACTTTGGGCGAGCCTAGGATAATGACGATTTATTATGATAATGAACCATATTTTTGCTATTACCAATCAAAATTCTAAAAAAGCGGATTTTAGGCCCACGCTAGTGTACATGCTCTTGTATACACTGGCTGATTCTATTTCAATCCATGCAGGGCGAATGGGTTCAAAATTCGAAATCAAGTTTAATACGATTTTTCATGTTTTTGGGGCAAATAAAGAGATACGTATTTTTTTGTTTTGCGAAGAAAAAATTCGCTGAGTTACGAGCATCTGAAAATTTTAGGGCAAAGTGTAGTTTTAGGGAAAAACGGCTGACAATTTTTCTTCAAATCTTTCTAGTTTTTTCAAAAATCAATTCGGTTTTTTTTAATTGAAAGAGTTTTTGCTGCTCTATATTTTGAAAATATGAGAAATTTTGAAAATTAGCCAAATGGCGGCCATATTTGGAAAAATCATCATCAAATCAAATTATTGATTTTTTTTTCTGCAAATAAGAAGACTCAGTATTTTGGGTATTGTACCGTCATATATTATCCATATATACATTCTGTTTTTTGACCTGGGTAGTATTTTTGATGATCTTTGTTTACAAATTTGAAAATTTTAAAAACCTTGAAAATTGACAAAATCGCAGAAAATTTTGAAAACCCAGAAAAAAGCAAATTTGTCAAATCAATTCAGAAATTCAAATCAGAAATTTTTGAAAAACCAAAAAAAATCGATTTTCATAAATATTTTTTTTTTGTTTTTCAAAAGTTTCTGCCATTTTGTTAATTTTCAAAGTTTTTAAAATTTTCAAAAATGATACTGAGATCAAAAAACAGAATGTATATATCAGGGGTGGGCAAGGCCGAGGCCGAAATGAGCCACACGTAAATTCTAAATGCCACAAAGAGCCACAAAAACCAACAAAAACAAAAATTTTATTTTTAAATAAAATTATTATTAGAAATGAAAAACATTAATTTTATTAATATTATTTATAGATATTAAAGAAAATTCAAAAGATCCCTATGGCCAAATTTTCAAAATCTGGTTTTACGTCAGTTAAAGCTGTTCGTAACAGTTCTGTTAAATGTTGGTTGGTCAATAGGTACGTTCGTTTAACTAAAAAAGGTCCAACAACAAAATTCTGGCGAAATGTCATCTGTTCTCTCACAAGAGAAAAATATCCAAAATAGTAGGCGATCAGAAAATTTGCAAAAACTTGCAAGTTAGACGAACAGCTGATACAAATTTTATTTATATTCAAAAGCATAAAATTGAAAACGTAAGAAAACGAATACCGAAGTCTTATCCTGACACAGTTCACTGACTAAAAAAATAATGACTTACTTCCTACAAGTTTAATCAGTTAAATCATTTTACTATTTTAACTTCCAAACCTTCAAATTTAATTTAGGGATTTGCGTAAATATCAACCAGCTGTTTTTGATCAGCTGTTTTCTTATTGGCAAATTGAAGTTGGCAAAAATTTTTTCCAGCAGAAACTAGCAGCTTTCCCTCAAAATCAAGGGTCATTTTGCTCTCTCAATTACCCCTACTTTGCAAGTTTTTTGCGTACGCGAACACAAAAAGCTGATCGTTTTTATAACTTTCAATAATTATCAGGTACGCGAATGCAACTATTTAATTGTGAACGGTATTTTGACTTTACGAATTTCATTGTAGAGTACAAAGACTCACAGTTATACGTTGTACCAAAAATTGAAAAATATACGGAACGCAGCTGTTCTCCACAGCGGATATTTTAAATCTGGTACTTGCTGCCGGAATTCAAGCAATAGAAAAGCTTTATGTTGCATTTCTAGTGCCTTATCTTCTTTTAATTCCAAAAACTCCAACTCTTCTTCGCTTTTCTTAAAAAGGAGTATTGTAAATTAATCCTCAATTATGTTACATAAAAAAGGGTTTATGAAGTATGCAAACGTACACTTAAATAATTTCAAATCGGCAAATCTTTTTTCAAAGTCTGCTTTTAAATCATGTGCAATATTTTCTCTGGCCATGGAAATTGATGAAATGTTCTTTTTTTGAGATCATAAATAAAAAGACGTAGTTTAGCTTCAAAACTTAAAATAATTTGCGACAAATCAAAAAGATTTTTATTCTCTCCTTGTAGAGACAAATTCAAGTTTTGCAAATGTTCCATCATATCGTCAAATAACATTAAGTCAGAAAGCTAATTTTCATTCTCCAATTGCGGGTAATATTCTGATCTCAATTTGCGTATGTGTATATAAAAGAATAAAATAAAAAAACAACACAATGGAAGAGAATGTCCAGNCTCTCCTTGTAGAGACAAATTCAAGTTTTGCAAATGTTCCATCATATCGTCAAATAACATTAAGTCAGAAAGCTAATTTTCATTCTCCAATTGCGGGTAATATTCTGATCTCAATTTGCGTATGTGTATATAAAAGAATAAAATAAAAAAACAACACAATGGAAGAGAATGTCCA